CACCAAACCGGATAGATGAGTAGCTTAGCCTGAACAACTCTAGAAGCTTGGCCAGCTCTCACCTGAATTGAATTACCTGGTAACTCAGGGGAAGTTACATAAGATCATACAAGGAAGACTGTGATTGCAAACAGATTTCCAGTGCAATTTTAGGAAACTCAAACGTAACAGAACCAGTAATGACCACACAATGGATTCCTTAAGATCAGAGATCTTGTCTTATTCTTCTTTATTGCCAAGTACAATGCCTGAAATTAACACATACACACACATTAAATATATATTAATATATTATACTATACATAGTATACATACTACTTATATTTATAGATCATACTATTCAGCAAATTCATTAATAGTATATTAGTAATAATAGTAATTGACTGGTTTAGGAGACTGAAACATTATGAGGTTTTTCATCTGGCTAACCTCTCTTCCGATTTATATCTCAGCCTAGACATACCTCCTTTATAAAGTGTCCCCTTCTTCTGAGGAAGGTCAAGTATTTGGTACTCATATTATTACTATACTTCTTCCTGCATTGGCCTTGTATATTTCTCTCTTTCCCCAGTGAGTTATAAAAACAAAGCAAAGCAAAATGGAACAATAACAAATTTGAAGATAGAGACCGACCCTTGTTTATCAGTATTCAAGCTCCTAACATTGTACCAGGTACAGAGAAGGCATTCAATAATGATTCTTAAATGAACAAGAGGAATAACATGTCCTTCTGTTGTATTACGAATCATTTCATATAGAAAAGCCAAAATCTTTCTATACTCATTTAGGTTCTGGGTGCCAAAATCAGCAAATCTAGCTATGAACCATAGTGTCTAAACCGAATGGCATGATGTCAGTGCTAAAGATGGAAAACCAGTTGAGAAAGTGTCTCATAGATTTCTATATGAACACACATCGTGGTTGGGTGTTGAGATAGCGAATGTGCTGATTATTCTCCACTGAAGCTGGTGTAGTTTGGAGGGGGACATTTTAGAGTCTCGTCAAAGCGGGGGAAGCCAAATAAAAGAGTAAAGGGGAAATATTTCCCTGATACCCATCTCTTCCAGACTGCCCAGGGAAGTCCAGGAGATCTGGAAGGAACACTTAGTCTCAGAAGTGTCAAGACCCCTTTAGTTTTAACTAGACTTATAGGTGAAACACCAAATTCTATGGCAATCTATGGGCTATTGGGCAAGATGTGATTCAATAGCAATGCCCATTCTTTATAGCTTCCTGGGTGATGCTTGATGGTTTCAAATAAAAAGTGTCATGCCGTCTTGCAAAGTGGAATGTTTTCAGTCTAGATTTTAAGCAGGAAGTCATTCTTCCCACCAAAAGATAATTAAGATTCTCCTCTCATGGCTAGGATATGCAATGCTGATTAGTCTAGATAGGGCACACACACACACAGGTACACACAGACACACACACACATATACCAGAAACAACACGCTACCGACATAGAGGACTCAGGTTAGGGAGACAGGGACCTACAACACCACACAGCCGTTCTCAAAGATTAGGAATAAGGCAGGAGGCCAGCACAGAAAGGCTTCCATGGAAATTGGCCCATGGAGTTTTTACTTAAAATCTGTACCTGAGCTAGTAAAACATAGACAAATGATGAAGAATTTGGTAAAGACTCCAAAAAAGTGGGCACGCAAAAATAGACAGCACAAAGCAAGACAATGTGGGGATTAAAGAAGGTCCCCAGGTTGTAGAATCAACACGGTTTGAATTCAAACTTTTTGTCAGACTGACCTAGTTAGTTTGTTACTAGTTTTTTAGTGAGGATGATCTGGAGATTGATATGAGAAGCTCCTGTGTATATGTTTTAGAATTTATGATGCATATAACATGTACGTGCATGTATATATGTATATATATAATACCATGTATGTATATATATTTATGTGTAATGAACTATACACAATTCTCTTTAGAATGTATTAGACATTTATTAAGATACTGTTGTTTCCTTCATATAATTGCAAGTTTAAAACCCTATTTATGTATCATGTCTGTTTATTTTCATCTATCTATTTACCTATATCTATCAATCTATGTATCTTCAAGCCAAATAAACCCTACTTGTCATGACAAAGAATACCCTGAAACCCAGAGTAGGCAAAATCAGGGTGTATTAGTCCTCACTGAGTTCTGACATACTGGCTATTTCTGGCTGAATATGCTACACCATACACTGTCACAAGGATAAAATCATAATAAACAGTTGTGTAAAGGGAATTTGGTGAGGAGTGCACCCGAGTAATGCAGGATTTTGGAGGAAACCGATGTCCACCTAATTCTCTCTCACAGATTTTAATATGTTTCTCACTCTGTTTACTCCGCACAGTATCTATTTCACATATATTTCAGCACAGAGAGGTGGAAAATATATGAGTTTTAAAGTCTAACAGGTGGAGAGAAAATACTGTTTTACCTTTATGAGCAAATGATCCATTTTCCCAGTGTCAATTTCATCATTTTTATAGATGGAGAAAATGAAGGGCTACTTGATGTTCAAATGTAATCATGCGTGCACAGTGAAGACATAGTAGTGTCTGACGCATTTTAGTGTAATTTATTCAATACAGCCAAGTTACAATATAATGAATTCATTCTGAATTCAAAGCAACTGTGAATGCAGTTAAAATTGCTTAATCAAGCAAATTTGGGGTCCTTTTTTTGCAATATGAAAATATACAATGAATGTTTTCTTTGGTTTTTCTGAAATTCCTTGTTTTGTGGCTTTTGAATGAAAAGCAGGACCGTAATAAGTTCGGGATTTTGTCACTGTTCATATTGAGTTTTTACTTTAATTTCTAACATTTATAGATATTTATGTGTAATCAATATCTGAATATTTATTCCTCAAGTTTTATCACTCCCTCAAGAAACAGTACTTTGCTTTTTCCTCTCAAACAATGATTCTCTAACCTGTCATTTCAACAGTTTCAGTTTACTAGGTCTGTTTTCTGAGGCACTGTTTCTATATGCAGCATCCATTTGCGTATCTCTCTCCCTGTGTGTAAGGTGTTAATCTGGTTGGGTGGCAAATTCCTTGGCAGCTGTGATTTTTTTTAATATCTCCCAAATCTTCTAGTACAGTATTGGGCAGATAGTAAACGTTCAACATGGATTTGCTAGCTGGCCTTGACTGAAAGAAAACCTCATTCCCAAGTATCTGAGCCAGTGACGGGCCACACACACAAAAGTTTGAGTTTGGTGCTTATTTACCTCTTGTCAAATCCTGAGATGTTACATGTAATCCTGATAGTTTACACCAAAAAGATACTAATCGTGACTCATGGCTCTAGAATTCAAAAACTCTTTCCTACCGTCACCTGCCCCAACTTGAACTTTCTTCATTTCTGAATCTTGTTTCATGAAAAGAGGCCCTGGAATGTAGTCTTCTTGAGATAGGCACATCATCTTTCTTAAGACACTTTCATAAGGATAAAATAATCAGGATATACCAGAGCCTAACCTTGCTTAGGGGCAGAAGGAAGAACTGGATTTTATTTAGAACAGTTTCTCATGTGAATAAATGTTTACTAAAGTGAGTAAGCAGGGGCGGTTCCATCAAAAATTTAGAAAAGAGACAGGAGAAGGAGCACATCAAAAAAGCAAGAAGGAATCTTTGATTCTCTCAGATTAAAAACTCAGAGAATTTGTATTTTCTCTGAAATACATTCATTTTACCTCCTTTTATTTAAGTGAACTCAGTTGAATTATACCCTTTGGAAAATATAAAGAATGCTCATTCTTTTCTAGGATTTCACAATTGAATTAATCTTCACCACATCTCTACAGAGGATAGACAAGAGATAATTTAACACTTATGAAACACCTAAACTTTTGACATTTATTTCATTCTCACAAAAGCATTATAAAGTGGAAATTTTCTCCATTTTACAGTTAAGGAAAATGAGGCTCAGAGAAGTCAAGTACATGCCCAAGGTCACAGAGCAGGTAAGAGCCAGCAGCACCACGTTCTGCTCTTCAAGTCTGTTTGTTTAAAAGTTCTTTCTAGCATATGACGTTGGCATTATGTAAAAAGGAAGATATTCCATTTTAACAGATTGAGAGAGTAAGGTATAGAGAACCAGGGGACTTCCTCAATTTTGTATTAAATAAGCAGTTTTGGTGCCAGGAAGAAAACTGAAGTTTTTTTTTTTGGAATAGAGCATTAAGCTCAGGCTGGGGGCAGGGTACAGGAAAATATTGTTTCGTATAATTACTTCATTTCTATTTTATACCACTACTGGATTTTCAGAGTTGCAAAATGGTGAAATGTGAGAAAATTGAGTTTGTTGTATTTATAAATTTTTATTAAACTCTTATAACACACTTGGTGTTTTCTAGAAAATATCTCAGAATGAACACATATTCTAGTAACTGATGAAAAAATTTTGTGACCATAGATTTTATTTTATTTTTCCAGATTTATTCAGGAATAACTGACAAATAAAAATCATATATATTTAAGGTATACAACACGATGACTTGGTTGAAACTCTGTTTTTTCCAAACCACGTGTCCTAGTCTCTCCAACTCCCTAACATCCTGCTTTACCTGTCATGATATCTGCAGTATGATAGAGCTTAATCTCAAACTTTATTTCTTCTTATAAAAAGTAATTTTCTTATCTAGAAATAATTTGGAATGCTTTCTTAGATGGGCACACACCACCTTATTCTCCCCAAGGCTCACTGTACTCATTCACTGTACTTCCTCTTGCTTCAGGAAAAATTTTTTCCTCTGAACTTCCTCCCCCCCCCGCCCCCCACTTTTTTTTTGGTAATCTTCTCTATGTTTGTTTTGGCTTTTGGCCTGGCCTTCCATTCCTTTTGGTGCTAAGTGAGAGTCAGCACTTAGCCTAAAATTACTCTTTACTAACAAAGTGTACAGTGTAGGAAGGAAAGCTCCACCTCCCACACCCACTTCTAATTATCATAACACTACAAAACATGCTATTGCACCGTTCTCCCATCACTTGTGAATGTCTGTTTTCCACAGCTTTCATTTCTCCAAAAAATGAGTTTGAGCCACATGGAGAATATGCCTTTAAGCCATTCAAGTCCTCAAGGAGCACAGAGATCATCCTGGAAGCCATGGCTTCTCTGCTCAATCACAGTGATGGTGCTATTGCTTTGCTCCTTCAATATGGTTTTTACTTTCCTCCCACTCAAGGTAAGGAAGCAACAGTACCTAAGGTTGCTATTTACTATGATTCTTTATTCATTTGTTAGTCTAGCTATTATCATTGTCACTCAGTATCATTAGAGACAGTTGAAAGGAAGAGACATGTGAGTACAAATAATGTAAATAGAATTCTAATCTTGTCATGACATGGCTTTTGAGGTTTATCTAAGTGTTTTACCTGAAAGGGATCAGAATATGCTAAATGTTAGCTGCAGAACTGAGTTAGATGGAGAGAATTGCTTGATTAAAGCAGCCAATTTATAGCTGCCTGTGGAAAATTTTTTTTCTCTTTCTGAAACCCTGCTATAACTTCTTGGTGGAATAAGAGGTATAAAATAGAATGTTTGCCCTCAAGGAATGGGATGCAAACTGCAGTCTTAGCAAGGGAAAAGACACAAAAAGATAATGGAAGACAGGATAAGGTAAGTAACAGGTGGTTACTGTATCTTTGAGGAGGGAAATGGCATTGAGCCAGGAGTAAGAAGATCTGGATTCTGGTTCTAGGTCTTCCAGGAACCAGCCGTATAAATTTGAGAAAGCCATGTAATCTCTCGGTTTTCTGCTTGTTCATCTGAAAAATGGCGGTGGAGGGGATGGATTTATTACAGAGTTTCTTCTAGCTGTAAAATGCATTGATCAAAAATTTATCTAAGGGTAGTATGGAACATAAATGCCTTAGGAATTCAAGAGCAGGGGGCAATGACTTTAGGCTGGGTTGATCAGGGAAGGCTTCATGGAGGAAGGAGGAAGCGCATGTCTATTTGGGAAGCCGCTGATGCTGTATCAGGAATTTCCCACTGACCTGCAGGGCAGCTTGTGGGCCTAGAGAATGGGATTGTTCACTGGGAAGGGGGAAAAGTTAAGCTCTTTACTAGAAGTTCTTCCTCACTGTTGACTACACCATTGACCAAAAAGAAAATAAGAAATGCTCTATTTAATTCAGGATTTAGCCCATTTCTGGTTACATTTGAAGACTCCGAGCCTTGGGGAAAATAAAGTGGTGTACGCCCTTCTAAGAAAGGGTTGGGATGTGACCGCAGAAACATTTTTCTAAGGGGAATGGATAGCAAAGATGTCAAAGATACAGTTCTACCACTTAAGGTATTTGAAAGCAATTGAGAAAAGATGCAGGAGAAGGAGGTAGTACACTATAGATTTTGATTTAGTTAGGGTAGGTATAGCTTGGCCAGATTTTTCCCTGGTAGCCCATTAATATGAACTCCATAACTGTATACAAGGATGTGCAACAAAGGCATTTCTAATCGCAGCCTGCTCTCTCAAGAAATGGATCAAGCAGAAGTGTGTGCTTTCTGGAGCAGTGAAGTTTGGGCAGAAAGAAAAGAATTGTCAGAAATTCTGAATATTTCAATTTCTGAAGAAGAAGAGGGGTGAAAATAGCGATAACTTAAATTTGGAAGTGCTTTGTGCTTCTAAAAATTACTTTTAGCCAGATGGCCCCGAAGATCATCGACCATAGGCACCCCCAGTTCCTGCATATGGCTGAGGAGCATAGGCATACAAGGGGAGGGAAATGCTTTTCTCTAAGGCACTCAGTGGCTCCTACAAAGGGAAAGAGGAAGTGTCACAATGTCTGAGTCATCCGGGACACCTCTTGCCAGAATCAAATTTGATTAGTCCCATGTGTTTAAGCTCTGATTCGGGATTTTCTCTCCTAGAGAGTATACAACTGTGTACTTCTCAATGAAATGTTTTGCTTCTAAAGACAATGCAGAGTTTATTCCAAATTTAGGGAAGTATAACATGTTTTTAGGATATTGTTTTGACAGGATGCTTGGAGGATTCGTTTCTATGGGAAAAGGGAGTGGCCTGGTCAACAGCGTCATGGTATTAGCTCATGCATTCTATTTCCCACTTACCTGCACTTCCCTTTCCCTATCGGTGACAAACAAGAATCTTTAGAAAAGAGGTCTGAGTGGCTGGCAGATGGTGAGTCATTATGATGTGGCCACTTCCACCTTCTCACAACACCCATGAACTTCGAGTTTGACTTTATTTTAGTCTTCACTCTAGTTTTTACCTACAAAGCCCCACCTAGTAATTGTAGTTGCTCCATTACTATTAATGAGATTACAACGAACATAAATTTAACAAGATCTTTTCCTCTTTGCCTATCTATATCATTTCCTCAAAGACTATACCTCACAACCAAATTGATGATTTTGCAACTAGGCAGATTTTCATTTGTGGCAATAATTACAGAGTATCACAATGGTGGGTTTCTATAGCTCTAAACAGGCATTAAAGCAGCCTGCAGTACAGTATCCAGAATTTCTGGCTTTGGGAATTAATTTGTCTGTAGCCTTAGGTTTCTCTGCTTAATCCGTATACACAGTAGCTGACACAGATACTATCTGTGGCATGTATCTTGGCACTCAGTTATATTTAGATCATTACCTAATTGCTTCATGTGTGTAATCATGTCTTTCTAGAAGGATTATAAACTTGAGAGGCAAGGCCCATAAATTACATTTGCTTTTCTCCCTAACAATGTAGTATGATGTTGGTAATATAGGTGTTTGAATTTTTGTTCAATTCTTCATTATAATCAGCATCATTACCAAAACAGCTAATATTTACTGAGCAGGTCCATACAGGATAGCTGGGCAAAGCCCTTCACAAGATTTACCTCATTTAAACCCAACAACTTCATTTTATAGATGAAGAATTTGGGGTTAAGGGAGTCCCTATCACATGCCTGTCATATGTTGCACTAAATTGAATTGCAAC